AGACCACCCCTTCCCCGCCAGCCCCGCGTCCCAAGTCCGCTCTCCGACCAGCCGCTCTGGACAGGGGTACCCGCCAGCCAGGCCCAGACCTGGCTCCTAGTCCTCGGCCCTGCGCCCCGAGTTTCAGGCTTTAACCGCCTTGGAGAAATCATGTCCCCCACCCACTCCGAGAGAACCCCCCCCAGGCAGGCAGTCCGCACAGCCCCTGCTTTAGCCAGCCTGAAGGGCAAGCAGTTCGTCCACATACTAGGGGTCCACACTCCAGACACCCAGACACCTACACACAGTTCCCAGACTGCACCCGCTGTGTACACACAGCCCCCAGAACCAGGGCTCAACCCCCAGAACCAAGGCTCAACTGCAAAGCTTCCAGACTGACACAAAGTGCACACGGGCAGGACACACACACACACACACACACACACACACACACACACACACGGCCCACACTGGGATTCCACGTATGCGTGCTGCTTCAAGACTCCCACTTTTACTCTCCACGATCATTGTCATCTGCACGTCTCGCGAAAGGAGGCTTACAGATGGTAACAAGCTGGCAGGGAAAAAAACAGCCAGGCACAGATATTTAAAGAAGAGATGTGCTAACGCTTCTAACTTGGGGAACGCAAACCGTTTCATTTGGGAGTTTTACAAGGGGAAAGGGAAGGCAAAAATAATAATAAAAGCAACATTTAACTGCAAATCGCCAGTGTGGCACCATGGGTCTGCCTTCCATATTGTCCTTTCTTAGGCCTGGAGCTGTTGTACCTTGCTGCCCAGTGCAGAGACTTACCCACCCCCCTCTGCCCCCTACCCCACCCCAGCCTGCCCACCGAGAACAAGAACTGGACTTAAGAAGGCTTGGCGTGCGGGCAAATATGTCATCCATTCTTTGATACCGTGCCCGCCATCACCCTGGAGTTTGGCATTTTGCTGTCAGTGGTTCTCGGGTGGAATGTTCTTGTGATTAAGGAAGGTCAGATGGGAATGGGTGAGGCTGAGGAATGGGGTTTGTCATCTGCCTTAATGGAAGTTCAAAACCACCAGGAGCTCCCCAAGAGAAACACTGGGCTTTCTACACCAGCAAACTATCTGGGCAGGCAGAGTTCCTTTTTAACATAGTAATACAGTAGTCATAATAATAACTAATAATAACCTTTTGATAATCAT